ATTCAACTTTCTGCTGATGTACCTGCTAATTTTGTTTTATTGGTTTTCGGAAAATTTCTCAGAGCATTGTTATCGGCTCCATAGTGTCAAATTTAGTTTACCACACACTCCTTTGAATAGGGGCTATGTCATTACTTTGCCCATTCCCCCATTTCCTCAAATGAGTGTAGCCAATGTTCCTTTAACCTTGGTGGGTGAGGCCGCCCTGAATGCACCATTGCCCTCTGATCATTTACACATGTGGTTCTCCTATCATTAGCTGGGGGAGCCAGACATTTATTAAGAACTTGTTGTGTCTGAGAGGAGCAGTGGTGTAATTGATGAGGGGAGCCTGCAACATAAGCCAGACACCCTGTTTCAAATTCCTGGCTCATTTGTTGCTGACTCAGTGATAGATCTTTATCTTTCCCAGTGCTAAAGATTCTTTCAGTCAGAGTTCAGAACTTCTTTGTGGATTCTGCTCTGTGAGGACATATACATGAACATTGTTTGCAGGAAGGCACAGTACTGATGGGTTCCACTTAACCACCTCACTTTTAATGAATTGTTTGAAGACCCTGAAGGCAAAGTGATCTATGGCTTGTTTATGGCATTATTGAAGATGAAATGCTGACAGTTCATGTTCTGTAAACTCCTATTCTTTATTCTTCTAGCAAGAAAGTTTCCTTGTGCCCTTAAAGCTGACATCAAAATAGCCTTATACACTTAGCCTCCAAGGTCTAAGCAAATCAGCATCTATAAACACCCAAATAACTTGGCAGTTATTTAATATAAACAATGTTTTTTGGTACAAGAACCTTTTGGGCCTTGGCATTTTTTTGTCTTAAGGGGGCACTTTGTTGCAATTTGGGATGGGAGTGGGGGGTACGTGCACGGAATGTTGTTGAAACTTAATGACAATTACACAGTGCAGAGATATGCTGTGTCACCTTGTCACCTGGTATGAAGTTTTATTGAAAATGATAATAAATCAAATGAGGGAATAGGCAAAGGAGACTCATTGTCTGGCAAAGTTCAACCCAGTCTGTCCAGTCATTATTTCCTATCAAACTGGTTATCTTCAAACAAAGCCCCACCGCTGGTCTGCCTTGCCCTTTGCAAAGCTGACTAAACGTTAGTCAAAAATCTGATCTCATTTTAAATGTCTGACATGCCTTTGTGGAACACTTTCATGTTTCTATATTTAAAGTAGTCGGATAGATACAAAAAGCCACACTCTAAAGGCAAATTTTCTGTGCATGTAACTACATTACTTATGCTGGATTGATGTCAGAGGTTGAAATCACACTGTACATGTCCTCTGGCCGAAGTTACTTATACTGTATTTAAGCTTGACTGGAATTGTTCCACTTCTTTGGGGTAGGTGTTCCACAACAATCCAAATCAAAAGTCAGTGTCAAATGGTTGTCCATTCAGTCTTCTAGTTATGTATAGGAGTTGTTTGTCAACTCCCCCTCTCCCTTTTTCTATTCACCCCAGTTGTCTTGCGGTCCACTTTGACCCTCCTCATTGCATTCAATAACTCATCATTTGAAAGCCCGCACCTGTTTCTGAGTAATGCTACTCCAGGGATGGGGACCATGAAGGATTAATGTGAGAGGAGAAATGTCTGAAATTCCTGTCCAGGGAAAAAATATCAGGCTTGATACCTTTGTTTGATGTTGACATATCACTCTACTCCAACAACCCAGGAAGAAGAAATAAAATAGAGAAAAACCCTGGGGAGAGTTTGATGAAATGCACTGGGGACTTTGTTTTGACAAAAGACAGGATTTTAAGACTTTTGGGGGGGTGGAGGGGGGTACAGAGAAGAGCATAAAGTACAAGCACATGTGAATGTTATTCTACATAGATATGGTATAATTAGTTCTTAAACTGGTTTACTAGTGTTGTGATTTCTGCCAGAATGTGTTGATTGTTTTACAGTTATAATAAGAATATCATTGAAGCTGAGCAGTATAAACTCCTTAAGTGGCTCAGTGTGTCCAAATTTTATTTAGATTTCTTTTATCATGAAGATTGTTTGGATGGATTGTTTTTGTTTTCTTGAGTGTGTAAGTTTTTTTCTCTAAAGGACGGTAAAACAGCTGGCCCCAATTGATCTGCGAAACTATGTAAGAACCTAGCACAAATCTGCTCAATGATCGGCAATGCTTGAGCATTGAGAAAGGACGTGGGGTAGTCCTTTCTTTTCAGGAGGCCTTACTTTGTCCATAGCAAGTGCATGCTGTGTATGTGTGTTATCTCCGTCAAGGGTTCTGCACCCATGTCAGGGCTGTCGGCCCTGTTCAGCACTAGAGGGCTACAGGTGTGCCTCCACTTGCGGGTCTCACAAGTGACTTTGCATTGATTTTTGTCGGGATAATTGCCTGTTGCCCATTCACAACATGTGTGCGTCGCCTAGGCTACCATGACTTCAAGGGAGGAAGGGAGAAGTACTGTAGAAGAAGGAAAAAAGGTTAAGGGGGAACTTGTTTTGCAGTCTTGTTCATTTCATTAGAGAGGTGCATCATTGACTTGACCACAGACTGATAAAAGGCCAAATGCTGTTTGCCCTTGAAAACTTGTCCTTAGTCATGCTCACCTAACAGGCCTACATACTCTTTCATTGCTACTCATTTTTTTGCAGAAATGGATCTCTGAATCAGTCCACTTATCCTGATTCATGAATTTTTTCCTGTGTTTTCCCACTTGTCCCAAACCATATAATTTTACATTCTCCTTCTCGAGAAGTTTGTCATTGTGTAAGATAGATAGCCATCACGTTTCCCCACTGTAGTCATTATTGGTTTAACACAAATACATTCTCAGTCATTTTGGCCCAAACGATCCTCCGGCTCCCTTCCCCCCCCCTAGAGCCTGGTCTTTCGTCTTTTCTGTGATCGGGCAGCAAGTCTCCTCCCTCCTCCTCATTTTCATTCCACAGGGGGCCGTGTCCGACTTGTCAAGCTTACCTGTAATTTATCTGTTAAATGAATCAATTTTGTCTTGTTAGTACCAAATGCAGTGAACCCCCCCCCATTCCAGGTCAGATGATTATCAATGAGTTTTAGAAACACAGTTATGGGTTTTTTTTCTTTTACCTTCTCATGCAGTTGCAAGTCTTCTCTTTGCCAGGCAGCTTCCATCATGTAACTCAGTTTATTTATAGAGCCGGAACCAGTTTTTGACCTGCCATACTATGTGTTGATTACAGATTGATGCTACTGTTCAAAGTAGTGAAGCTGGAAGAATTGTGATTCTTGGCCGTTACTGAAACAGTCAGGAGAATCGGCTGTCCTATACCTCAGACCTAGTTAATTTTTTTTTCTTATTATTCATTCAAAAAAATGATTGCTTACAGCCTTCAGTCTCAAAATTGGACTTAATCACAAAAATTAAGGGAGAAAAAGTTATTGAATGCTCAGTGTTGGAAGTTGAACATGAAGCCTTACCGTGTCTAGTTCATGTAATTTTTGTGGGTTTTCAAGCAAAGGGTTCAACACCCTTTACTAAAGTTGGCATTTGAACGCAGAACTAAAGAAGGGATGTACCAGATGAATGACAAAGTATGTCTTGAATGTGACATCAAATTCCCAGACGTGGAATAAATGAATGCAAACTAAAAGAGGTGGACTGAAGAGAATAATAAAAAGGGCATTCTAAATCTTACTAATGGAGCTCAGCAATCCGTCTGAAGCACCCACATATTTTCAAGTGACTGAATCTTTTTGGTGTGTTAGAAACTTCATGCCCATGTGAAATGGCAAAAACATCACTCATTTGCATACTTGCCGGTAAAATGTGTAGACTTCAAAATGTTATTTGCACTTTACATGTGCATAGCATTTGTCTGGGCTTAATGCAGGTAAATGCAGATTTCCCAAATTAGGAGAGGCGTGATGCAGGTTTGCGCGCAATTTGCAAGGCCATAAATGTCAAATGACCCCTTTGTGCATGGCACCAAATGAACTGCGGAATAAATTTAACTTCAAACCGGGTTGAATATGTTCTGAATGTCATAAGGCCTATGTGGACTTGGGATCATGTACTGTACATGTATCTATCTGACCATGATAACCTATTCACTGAGGGAGGTAACACTGGCTGCTACCCTTCTTCATTCGGTTGTAGGGGCAGGGTGTTGGGTTGCTTTGAGAATGGAATGATCAGATACACTTCTCAGGCATGCAACTTTCCTCGGATCACCTGATTTCCTCATTTTTCACTTCACACTCTTGCTGTTGAAAATCGAAAACCACTGTACAAAGTCTTGTTAAGATTGGAATTTCCTCGTTTTTGTCAAAGTCCAAGCTGCACACCTGACTACTTGAGAGATTAGGGTAGCAAATGGTGAAAAGGTGTAGCTGCTTGTGTCCAGACAGGAGAAACTTTGGACAAGTGTTTCCTTTCTTATACTTCCTACATTCATCCCCATTTGTAGAATGGAAAATCTGTGTGCGATCTTCTGTGAAATTTGGCACATTTATGTTGTTCTGTGTTGTGCAGATTGATACAGAAAAAAATGAAGTGGGTGATCTAAAAGGTGCTGTGTTCTTTTTTTAAGGCAAATTTATGCATAATTGCAGTAGGGGAAAGTGGTATGTATCATACAGTAATGGACACTTTCAAATGTCACAGAACTGCAGTATTATGTTGATGATATGCAGTTATGAGTGACCTGTTTGTAGTGCCAGTTGATAGTGATAACTTCTCTTACGTAGTATCCATCCCAGATTGAATTATGCACTGTGTAATATGGAAAATTCACTCACTTTTGGAAGTCTCGCGTACATTGTATGCATGTAGTATAATACTGCAGCCATTGGAACCGGTTTGTTCTGCTTGTCTATCCACAATTGAATTTTGATACCACAGCTAGTTAGCCTGGCTTCCCTCCAAAATACGTTAATTAGCATTTGTGTGTTGTTCAGTGGCCAGTCGAAGAGCAAGGTTTCAAAGTTAAAGGAAGAGCTTCAAATTATTAAATATTTCCCTTTTTTTCTTATATTTGTTAACAGACAATGGAAAGGAATAAGGTGTAAAGATATCTTGGATCCTGTGTACGCATCCAACCCTGATGCATCATGACGGCTGTGGAGCAGAACTCAATGGGCGACATCGGGGAGTTTCCTGACCAACCACTGCAAGACAGACAGATGGTGAATGCCAAGATAGCCAACAGTATGCTAAAGGACAACAACATCCAGCCATTTGGGATGGACAGGGCCCTTTGCAGCGATCTTAAGACTGCCGGAGCAGACCTCACAGACACGGAGGATGGTGGGGACATTAAAGTCAATGGTGACACAAAATCTGAGGAGGGTGGATTGCAGCACCAGCATGAAAATGGACCACAGAAGGGAAGCGGACCACCAGAGGACGTTGCATGCTCAGAATGTCATGGGCAGTTCACCAGTCTACAAACATACATGGAGCATCATTGCAAAGCCTCCAAATTCTCCTCTCAGAACGAGAATATTGAAGAGTGCGATACAGCTGGTGAGAGTGAAGCAGCTGTGTCGCTAAGTGGAGATGAAAGTGATCTAAGTGACATAGAGAATTTTGAGGGCGAGATAGTTTACAGGCCCGATGGGTCCGCCTACCTTGTGGACGGATCGGAGCTGTCTGACAGTGAAAATGCCCAGTGTGGGTCCAAGGATCCACCCAGTGTTGTGCGGCAGCCTCTGACGGATGCAGGCAACATGTCGGCCTTCCCGGGAATTGTGAACTCCCTGCATGTACCTGCCTACATGACCATCGGTAATCTGGCCCAGCTCAGCATGGGCCAACTGGCCACTCCAATAGTGCACAGCTTCCGCGTGTATGATGTGAGAACAAGCAAACAAAAGGACCAACTAGGCTCAGAGACCAAGCCACGGGAGGAGGAGCCGCATTCCATCAGTGAGAATGCTGTGGAGGGCCATGGTAAGCCCATCCTCATGTGTTTCCTGTGCAAACTGTCCTTTGGATTTGCCAAATCCTTTGTTGCGCATGCCAGCAATGAACACAAACTTACGCTGAATGAGGAGGAGAGAAAGATTATGGCCCGTAAAGGCCAGTCCGCTATTGTACAGGGTCTGGGAAAGGAGAAAAGCCCCCTGTTGTCCTTCCTTGAAGCCACTGCCATCAAATCGCAGCCCGGCCATCAGCTAAACTTCAAACACACACCACCTTCCAGTGAATACTTGCAATCTGTATTTCCCTCTGCCGCTTCATCGGTTAGCTATGTGTACCCTGTGAACGTCACCATCAGTACTAGCTCCCCCCTCACTACCACTGTCACGGCTACCTCAACTTGCATGTCACAACCAGGTAGTGTTGTGGCTGCCAATGTTGACACTGTCCCTGGCTCTGGTACTGATGGACCAAATGCACCGGATAATCAAGCTCCGCCTGGTCTCCTAGCAATAGCCAAAAGCGAGACTGACTCTGCAGGACCAAATGAGAACAATGTTGCATCCCCTGACAACGAAAACAATACCGAACAAGAGGAAAATAAGCAAAGTGCTGAACAATCTGAAATACTCCACAAGGACCATGCCTCTCCAGAGCAGAGCCAATCCACAGGGACTGCCGATGGATCACTGCCAGTGGAAAAGGAAGCTTGCAAACTGTTGACTGAAACCACACAGGAAACTCCAAGTCCCAGTTGCCCAATGAAATACCTAGAGCCCAGGAAGGCAGACGTGAGACAGAGCCCCAGCCCAACCACCAGGTCTAACTGTCAGACACCCCACCAACAAGAGGCTGAATCTCCTTACCCTGGGAGCTTAGCTGAAGAGAGCTCCTCCCCCCGCCCAAGCAGTCGTGACACCTGTACTCCCTCTGATTGCTGCACTTCCAGCGGGAAAAATTCCAGTAGTGTTGAGTGTCCCAAGTGTGACATGGTCCTGGGCTCGTCCCGTTCTCTTGGGGGGCACATGACCATGATGCACTCCCGAAACTCCTGCAAGACACTGAAATGCCCCAAATGCAACTGGCACTACAAGTACCAGCAAACCCTAGAAGCCCACATGAAGGAAAAGCACCCGGAGAGCGAGTCCAAATGCCCATATTGCGAGACCAATCAAACCCATCCTCGCCTATCAAGGGGGGAAACATACACCTGTGGATATAAGCCCTACCGCTGTGACATCTGCAATTATTCCACCACCACCAAGGGTAACCTGAGTATTCACATGCAGTCCGATAAGCATCTAAACAATGTACAAGAGCTGCAAAATGGCAGTGACCAGTTATTTATGCACACCACCAAAGTAGGAGGGGAAATGCCTCCGACACTGTCCTCATCTTCAACCAAAGCCAAGCCCAAGCACACGTGGCGGTGTGACGTATGCGATTATGAGACCAATGTGGCACGCAATCTTCGCATCCATATGACGAGTGAGAAACACATCCACAATATGATGGCCATCCAGCAGAACGTTAGCCAAATGCAGCGGGAGATGCAGACCAACCTGACCGGCTTCCAACCCGAAGAGTCCATGTACATGTACATGGCCCAGAACATGCTGCCCATCATGGCCCAGGGACCAGAGGGCATGGACATGCAGAGCATGATGAACTACAGTTACGACCCAACAGCGTACGCCGCTATGATGGGCAGCATGGCCCTGGGTGTGGCCCCTGGCCCCGACCAGACCCGGATGCAGGAAGAACAAGCCATGGTCTCACCAGATGACTTGCAGAACAATGAACCGTTGAGGTTATACCAGTGCTCTGTCTGCAATAAGTTCAGCACTGACTGTCTGGGTGAACTGCAGCAACACATCTCGCGGGATCGTAGCGAACCAAATGAGGAGCTGTGGCGCATAATCATCGGGGACGTCCAGCAGTGCGCTCTCTGCAACTACACAACACAGGTGAAGGCCAACTTCCAACTCCACATGAAGACAGATAAGCACCAGCAGAAACTACAGCTTTTCAACCATATCCGAGAAGGTGGCAAGCAAAATGAATGGCGGCTGAAGTACATGAACGTGGGCAACCCCATCCAACTTCGTTGCAATGCTTGCGATTACTACACTTACAGCACTGACAAGCTTCACACACACACCCACAGTAGTAACTATCGTCATGAAACAAGCATGAAGCTCTTCCGGCACCTGCAGAAAATAAACATCACCATCAACCCTGAGTCCCGCACCTTCCACTGCCCTCTGTGTAACTATTCCACAAAGGCCAAGCTCAATTTGATACAGCATGTCCAGTCTTTGCAGCACATCAAGAATGAGGAAAAGTTGACAAAAGCTTCACCTAAGGAAGGGATGACAGCTGATGGTGCTTTAGATCTCTCAAGGAAAGAACGACCATCACCGACTTTTACTGCCTCTACATCAAGGGACAAGGATAAAGAGCATGGAGAGCCAGAAGCCAAGCGTCCCAAATTACCTCAGGAGAGTTCCTCATCAGGGAGGTCGCGAGCAGAATCCCGCAGCAACCCAAACACCACACAGATATATTCCTGTCCTTATTGTAAATACAGCAGCATTGATCAACAGCGTATATCTGCCCACGTAGTGTCCCAGCACAGCATCAAACCTCAGGCAATTCTGCGCTGCCCGCTGTGTCAGGAAGTCTGCACCAACAAGATCAATCTGGAGGTCCATCTCATGGATACCCACAGTGTCTCCCGGGAGTGCATGCAGCGTCTGATGCTTACCAGTGAGTGGGTGATGCCGACTGCTACCAACCCTCCAGCTACCACACCGCCATTCATTCAAGGTACCAATCCTGCGATGGAAGCCTTGGCCCAAGCCGGCCTGAAACCAGCCCCAGCTGAGTCACCAGCACCACCCTCCGTGGAAACAGTCAAGATGGAATTGCAGGACAAGCCAGCACGGGAGTCTCCGGGGCCCTCCAGTGACACAGAGAGCACAGATCTGTACCGCTGCCAGAAGTGCCATCTCGTATTCGCCAACATTGATCAACTCTATGCCCATCAGGACCAAAGCTGCCCCCTCACTGAGCAGGACACCCCAGGTGGACCAGGTTTTCTCTGCTGGAAGAAAGGCTGCAACCAGTATTTCAAAACTGCCTCCGCACTTCAGATGCACTTCAAGGAGATCCATGCTAAGCGTCAGCAGTCCGCCAGTTCCGAGCGCCACATGTATAAATACCGCTGCACTCAATGTAGTCTTGCTTTCAAAACCGAAGAAAAGCTGGGCAACCACATGCAGTACCACCTGCTGCGTGCTGCCACTAAGTGCCCTGTGTGCCAGCGCATGTTCCGCTCCGTCCCTGCCTTGCAAAATCATATTGAGACATCACATCAGGATCTGAGCAATACCGAGTTGCTCCAGTATTACAATTCAGTGTCAAATGGAGACATGGTGCCATCATCTAAATTGGTTGAGGATTCCCCAAGCTGTGGCGAGGTTCCAAATGAGAATGAGCAAGTTGATCCATCACAAGATGACAATCAAATGGAGGCAGAATCTGTGGATGGGACCATCGACAGCTCAGACGCTGGAAAAGATGATACCGGTCGACAGGTCGAGACCCCTAATAGCCAGGAAGTAGACAGTCTCTCTGAGGATGGGAGTCAAGATGGGAACAAGTACATTGATGATGGTTCCTACACTGATCCTGTTCGAAAATACAAATGCCACAGATGTCGTTTGGGCTTCATGCGTCAGAGTGAGCTAAGCAGCCATAACAAGACAATGACACATCGTAAAGGGGATCGTAGCTTGACTGCCTTTCAACTCCAGAGGTACTGGGACCCCAACCGCCCATACAAGTGTGATGTATGCAAAGAGTCCTTCACTCAGAAGAACATCCTATTGGTGCACTATAATTCTGTCTCTCACCTTCATAAATTAAAGCAGAGTTTGAATGAACCCACCGAGACAGAGGCAGCAGCTGAAACTGGTGATGGGAAGCCCTACCGATGTAACTTGTGTAAAGTTGCCTACAGCCAAGCAACCACACTGGAAACACACATGCGCTCTGTTCTGCATCAGAGCAGGGCAGCCAAGCAAGAGGTCCAAGGCACGAGTACCGAACGTGAAGAATCCACTCCTGAACAGAGCAGCTCAGTGGAAAATGGTGAACTTGGTTCTCCAAAGGTTCCAGGATACTCAACCCCACAGCAGCAGGTACAGGAAATGCAGGCTCAGCAACTGCAACAGGCACAGGCCGCCCAGCAGATGCAGCTTCAAATGCAGCAAATACAACTCCACCAGTTGCAGCAACTGCAGCAGGCTCAGCTGCAGCATTTCTTGCAGCAGCAAGGTATGACCCAGATTCAGTCTGAGGCTGCCCAACAGTTACAGGCAGAGCTAGCACTTGCCACTCTGGCTGGTTTCCCTCCTGGCATGATGCTGCAACCAGGGCAGGTGCTTCCTCAGCCCTGTGTCTTTAGCTGTAACAAATGCTCGTCAGTCTTTGTGAGCCAGGAAGCACTCACACAGCACCAGCAGACTCAGTGCAGAAGTGTTCCATCCTCTGAGAATGCAACCACTGCAGCCACACCCCCAGCCACTCCAAAGCCAAGTATTCCAGAGGCTTCCATTAATCAACATCCAAGACGGACTCGCACATCCCAGGTGCAGAGAAAGCTTCTGGAAAGTTATGGGTTCGATCTCGTCCAACAGTTTAATGAATTTGCTCAGGGTTTACCAGCCAGCATTGCCCAAGAAGACAAGTTTTACTGCAGTGAATGTTCCAAGGAATTTTCCAGCATCTTTGTGTACAAAGCCCATCTAGAAGAGCTTCACAAGAAGGTTTTGACCATCAAAGAAATTGAGATGTATTCCAAGAAATTTAAGGAAGAACTCTTAGAGAACAACATTGAAGATGAGAAGGATAAAACAGAAATGGATAAGCAAGACAGAGAGGATAAGCCAGGTGAGAAGCAGCTTGAGCAAAATGGGGAAGTCAAAGAGGAACCCAACACTGATGGGTCAACTCACACCCAGATTTCAGAGGATCAGCACATTGCAGCTCAACTTGCTGCAGTGCAGTACCTTCAGCAGACGCAACAACAGGGCCAAATGTCTGCTTCCCAGGCTATGCCCCCTCCTCCCCCACCACAGATGCTACTGCCCAGTGCATTCCCATTGTCTATGATGCAGTCCATGCAGCCACTGTCTAGCATGCAGAATTTTAGCATGATGCAAGGGATTACCCCCACTCAGGCCAGCATGCCTGCCATGCAGGCCGTTCAGTATGTGGATCCCAACTACATGCAGAAATCCCCCAAGCGTGCTCGCACACGCATCACTGATGACCAGCTGAAAATCTTGCGGGCCTACTTTGATATCAATAACTCTCCCACTGAGGAGCAGATTGCAGAGATGTCGCAGAAATCTGGGCTGCCACACAAGGTTATAAAGCACTGGTTCCGCAACACCTTATTCAAAGAGCGGCAGAGGAACAAAGATTCACCCTATAACTTCAACAACCCTCCAACCACGACACTCCAGGATGCAGAGAAATCTGCTCAGTTGAAGGCCAAGCAAGAGGTGGCAGCAGCTCAAGCAGCCGCTCTAGCAGCTGAGCAGGCTGCAGCAGCTTGTGCAGCTGCTGCTGCAGCGGCAGCGGCATCGGCCGCAGCATCAGCTGCAGAGGCCAAGCGGTCCTCTCCAGCTCCCATTTCGGTTAATGGTGGTTTCAGCAACAGTAGAAAGAGGAGTAAAGGAAGCGGCAGTTATTTCAGTGAAAGTGATTCGTCTTTGTCAATGTCAGCATCAACCTCAATACCTGTAGTGTCGCTACCATCAGCATGTGTGGCGCCACCTGCCTCAGTACCCTTTTCCACAGCCGCACTTGTTGCTGCTCCAACCACAGCCACTGCAGCACATTCTTCACCTCCATCTGCCCCATCTTCTGCATGTAGTTCTTCTCCAAAACCTGACACAAAAAAAGTAGACATTAAACAGGAATCCTCCCAACCAGAGCAGCAAAAGTCATCCACACCGCCCCCAGCTGATTCAGACACACACACTGCCTCAAAGAATTTGCCCGTGAAATCTGAGGTTCATGTAAAGTCAGAAGATTCTCAAAAGAAATCCCCAGTTCAGAGGGACAGGGAGAGCATAGCAAGTGTCAGTTCAGTGAATAGTGTCTTCACATCAGAACCACAACAGGGAGGTGTTGGTGGCCCAGTGACCACAACATCTTCACCAACTACACCTACCTCAACCTATTCTGAGCTGGCCTCCCCAATACTCTCTCCCATTTCCCCAGCTCCACAATCTATGCCATCTGCTACCTCCCCAACGCAACGCTGCAGTGGTTCAGGGTCTAAACGCTCAGGCAGGACACGTTTCACTGATTACCAGGTCAAAGTGTTGCAAGAGTTCTTTGAAAACAATGCCTACCCAAAGGATGATGACTTGGACAACATGTCACGATTGCTCAATCTAAGTCCTCGAGTAATAGTAGTCTGGTTCCAGAATGCTAGACAGAAAGCACGGAAGATCTTTGAGAATCAGCCTCTTGTGGATAGTGGAGACTCTGAGGGTGAGGGAAGCAGTCGTTACAAACGAACCCCAGGTATGAACTACCAGTGCAGCAAGTGCTTGCTAGTATTCCAAAGATTTTATGAGCTGATTCGGCACCAGAAGTTGCATTGCTACAAAGATGAAGAGGGTGGCAACCGCTCATCATCTCAGGTCAGTCCAACTAGGGGTCCAACCTGCACCTCACCCATGGCCAAGAGCACAGCTAGCAGTACAAGCAGTGTCTCATCTGAGACTGTGTTCACCAAGTCCGAAGAGAAGGTAGCCAAAGTAGAGGCTGAGCCCAAGGCTGAATCTAAACCTTCTAGCACCATGCAAGAGAATCAAGGCCCTGTGGTACACTATCAGTGTGAGAAATGCAGCCTTGTCTTCCCCCACTTTGACCAATGGCGGGACCACCAGCAGGTGCACATGATGAATATGGGTCTCTTTGGGAGCTACCTCCCGCAGCCCTACAACATGATGTATCTACCCTACCCCGAAGCTATGAATGGTGTGACTCCAGAACAATACTTGAATTACCTGAGCAACAAGAAGGCCAATGAGTCACCCACAAAAAGGAAGTTCTCTGAGACAAGCGATGACATTGTTGGACCCTCAACTTCTGAAAGTCCAGCTGACAATGGTGACCAGCCAAAAGACAAGCGACTCCGTACCACCATTTCACCAGCTCAGCTGGACGTATTGTATGCCAAATACCGAGAGGACAGTAACCCTACACGGAGAATGCTTGACATGATCTCAAAGGAAGTTGGGCTGAAAAAACGAGTGGTCCAGGTCTGGTTCCAGAATACCCGTGCAAGAGAGCGCAAAGGGCAGTTCAGGCTCTCAGGGCTAAATCAGATGTGCAAGTGTCCTTTTTGCAGGGCACTCTTCAAATCCAAGTCTGCACTAGAGGCTCATATCAGGACTCGTCATTTTGAACAACAGATCACCAACAGTCAGATGGAAGCCATTTTGGCTCAAATGCCAGAATGTGAGGATACGGGAATGCTGAGCCCCCAGTTTGACAGCACCACAGGCAACAACCCTTATTCAACCAGTCCCAGCCTCTCCCAGGATGGAGAACATGCTGTGAATTTGTCTTCCTCCCACAAGGAACGTCGTAAAGGGGAAGAGCTGATAGTCATTTCAGATGATAGTAGCAGCCAGGATGGAGCTGACAATGCCAATGAGTCAGGGAATTCTGATGAGTCGGGAACCAAGCCCAGAGTCAGAAATAACAGCGGGCATGATTCTGAGGGAAGTAGAAGAGAGCTGCCAAAACAGTGGGAGGGAACACCTTCCCGCAGTGGCAGTGAGTCATCCCAGCTGCAAATGGACGAAGATAACAAGGAGTCTGACATGCTCTCCCCCACCAGCAGTATGGTTGGAGAAGACTTCTATGAGAACACCCTGTCAGAGGCAGGCTCCATGGATAGGAGTGAGGATTCTTTCAGTAATCTAGATGAAGGTGAGAGAATGAGGATGCGAGAGGCAAACAAGAGGTACCGCACACAGATGAGTCAACTACAGCTCAAAGTGCTAAAGCACTGCTTTGCCGACTATCGCACTCCAACGATGCACGAGTGCGAGCTGCTAGGACAGGAGGTGGGTCTGCCAAAGCGAGTGGTGCAGGTTTGGTTTCAGAATGCCAGGGCCAAAGATAAGAAGTCCAAAACAGTTGTGACCAAGCAGTTTGGCATGATAGGCCCCAGTAGTGATGGCACACCCGAAATGTGCAAGTTGTGCGGGGTCAAGTATTCCATGTCTATGTCAGTGAGGGACCATGTATTCACAGAGTTGCACATCCGCAGTGTCAAAAAACACGTTGGTCAGGAGATTGAGAAGGATTCTGAGGATAGTGCAAGATTTTTGTCACTTCAGCAGAAGGTGCATGGTCAGCAGTCTCAGCAACAGCAGCAACAGCAATCCCTGCCAGCCAGCCAGCAGTTCCTCCCAGCAGCTGCTGCTGCAGCAGCAGCCCATGCAATGATGCCCGCAGCTCTCAACCCAGTCACTGCGGCACAAATCCAAACTATCCAGGCCATGCATGCAGCACAGATCATCTCACCTCAGATGGCCTCCCAGCAGATGGCTGCAGTAGCAGCCGCTGCCGGCATGCTACCAGGTTCCTCCGGGGGATCCAGTAAGCAGGAAGGGAGGAAGGAGTTGGGCATCGGTCAGGAGTCAAAAGATGAAGAACAGGCATCTCAGCAGGCTGCAGCAGCCCAGCAACAGGCAGCAGCAGCGGCAATGCTGGCCCAACAACTCAACATCCCAACGTCCAGAACAGATCAAGCTTTAATGTCCTACCTCTATGGAAACATGCCCCCTTACTACTCCCAGATGCAAATGATGTACCCCTTCTACACTGGGGGCCAGGAAGCTGCCATGATGGCAGCCTATGAACAGTCCATGCAGGCTGCTAGCATGCTCCCACAGATGGCCCACATGTATGGTGCCAATCCCCTAGCAGCTGCTCAGCTCCAATCCAAGAGCACCGAGTCTGCTGTGCCCAAGTCCAGTGCCAGCAAGGAGCAGCAGGAGTCCACCTCCTTCCCTGGGGACAAAGACAGGCTAATCTTGCGGCCAAAGTCCTCCACAAACCGATACCTCTGCAAGAAGTGTGAGAAGGTCTTCACGGACCGGGACTCTGTCACTTCCCACCAGGTCACTGCCTGCTACCCAGGTCAGGTGGTCAACACGGAGGAGACAGTGGAGAAGCTGCCCTCCAACCGGTTCCTCTGCCTGGCCTGCCCCCGGGAAGTGCTGATAACAGAGGAGGATGTGAACAAGCATCTTCAGTCAGGAGGGCACGAGAGGAACGCTGCCTTGAGACGTGCCAGCGGCAGTGGCAGCAGTAAGAAGAGTCATAGCTCCAAGCATCATCGACACCATCAAAGTAAGCACTGAGCGTGTTGAGAAAGTGTCAAGAATTATTGTAAAGTCATAGAATAAATAGTGTATGGGAGACTTAACATGCACTGCACACCACTCAGCTCAAATAATTTAGTCAAAAAAGAACAGATCATGGTGGTTATCAGTGCTTATTAATGCTATTCTGAAAAGTAAAACTATTTGAAATTGAAATTGAATTATAGTGCGGAATTCAGAATCATTTGGAAGAAATTAAACGGTATTCTGATGATTTTTTTGTTTTTTTTTTTTTTAATGAAATTACGCATGTGAATTTCAACAAAATTGCAAATTAGATTACAAGAAAATGAGATGTGGGTGAATTTCGTAAGATAATACGAGCTGAAGTCTGTCCTATAATTTGTGAATGTCAAATATAAATTATGCGTAAATCACATAGAACTGCCAAGCATATATAAGCTCTTTTTAAGGACCAATATGAGTAATTCTGTGTTAACCAGCTGCCCCACCTTTTCTTTTTTTCATTTGAATTCAAAGAATGATTTGAAATTATAACATGCTGATATATGCACTGTTTTTGTCATCACCCACGGTTCTGGTCAGAGGAACAATATGATACTTGAATACACCTTATGTTTTGTGCTACAATGATGTACATAAAAGTTCAAAACCATAAGATGGTATTATAAATGGTTAAGGATGGTGAATGTGACTGATTTTGTAAAAAAAGATGGTGCCTGTATTTAATTTGGAGGTTTTTTTACTAAACACTTGATAGTTAAATGTTCAGGAATAAACTAATGTGTTACTGTGGGATTTTTTCCTTCCTGGGATGGGACTGAAAAATAATTTTTTTCTGAACTATGAATACTTAGCACTGCGTCTTGCATTTATACCTGATTGTGAAACAGTGCTTAAGTCGGTGAAAAAAAGAAAGGAAAAAAAACAAGCAACGAAGGAACTTACAGGAGGAGACAGTTTTAGCCCTTTAACTGAGATGAATCAGAGTTGGGTTATTTCATATTATGAAACTTGGGGGACGAGTTTCAGAAGGAATGTGGCTAAATGTTTTTGTTGAATAGAAATTTAAAGTTTTAGGTTTGAAGCTAAACAGAAATTATCCTGAGCTCTATTCTCTCAATTCAGGTGGTGACTCAAAGTCAAAAGAGCTATATAATTTGTATAAAAAGGGGGACACAAAAACGAGTGTGACATTAGAGTAGCTCATGATGTGGAATTCATAAAAATATATATTACTAAAAAAATATTCACTGATACTGTGTAGATGTTTAGAGTTTGTGTGTGTGTATATATATAAGATTCCTATATGTACAATTAAATATAAACCATAAGAGTGAAGTAGGTCACCCCTTCGTGTGATAGCAATCCCAGCATTCAGTGGACCATGGCATTGTGATGCCTGTATTTAATGAAATATATTAGTCTAGATTGAGCCAATCATCAGGTTTGCATTGATTGCAAAGATATAATTTTGTCAGCCATGCTTTTTTTCCATCACTGTTATTTTTCTAACAATGTATGAATTTGACAAACTTAGAGTTACTGTCTTGTATGGTCATGGCCATCTCTTGTTTCCTTGTAGTTGTATGGGAGTGAATGAAAGGATAGTGCGTTCACTTGTGTATCTGAATTGAGTGAAGAGAAAGGTGGTATAACATGAGACCACGCAAGCCACAGAGCTTGGAAAGTTCATCACCATAATCAGCGCTTGATCCTCCGGGTTGGATAAACAAGCGAGGCCTGAATGGGTGCATTTAACAGGAATTTGTCCTGGGTGTCACACGATACTTGCTACTGATCGGTGAAGAGACAGTTCCCACTGTGGTTTCTGTAAACACTGGGCAGTTTAAGGGAGGGAACTTTATCAATGATCCCAATGTGTATCAAGTTTTTAATTATTAGGGGGTGGGGGATAAAAAAAAAGGGTGGATGATGCCAATGTCCAAACAGGGTCTGACAAATGGTCAGATTTATTGTAACCTGAGAACCCGTCGGACACAGCTAGAGTTTAATTTCCTGTAGTTGCACTTGAAAAATAAGAGAACAAAAAATTGATGCCAAGAAAAGTGGGGAAAAAAGTGGCATGGTTTTGTGAAATTCTATCCCTCTGGTACAATTAAATAGACATGTCAATAGCCCAAATGAAATGGTGTATATCCTTACAGGGGTTTTCAAGGCAAATAGAATTAAGTTCATGTTCTGATGTTTTTTAGCTAGACATGGTTAGACTGCAAAGATGATAAGATGCTAAACCCAACCGAGCTTGTGAAGTCATTAGTATTTACATAATTCTCACATTTTTGTGCAACCCATGACTGCAAAGCAGTCATTTGGTTGTTTTTCTGAGTTTCCTGTCATTAATATTCAGAGACAAGTCAGTCATGTTTGGTTTCTTCATGTGGATTTTTATTTTTGAAAGAGCTGATGTATGGGCTGACACAGTGCATTAATGACCAAAATATCTTGTAGTTTTGTGATGTATTTTTTTGTTTTTTGTTCTTCCTACTTTCCTGTAATCACAAGAAAATTATATTGCTTGTATGATGCATTTACTTTTTAAAAAATTTGATCCTTAATGAGGTAGATATGTCTAATTAATGTTTGAAGTACTACAATATAATTAAAATATCTAAAAGCATAATATTGGACATAGAGTAAGGTAATAAGACAAAACGCACTCTACACAGACCAATGCATCACTGAATTTTATAGTTTGCCAGATTGTCTCCATAAAGAAATGGTGCACAGTCTCCATCAAAAAATGGTGCACGAATTGTATTGCAGTATGAATAATTATAGAGTAGAGCCCACTGATATGGTGTTGAGACAACACAAAACAGCAACAAGTTTTCTATGTAGTGTGTATTTTTTTCTACTGCTGCTGTGTTGATATATTTTAAAAAGTTGATTTTCCCTGCCAACTCTGATCTAAGGAGGAAAAAAAGCAGAAAGTTTGAAAATGGCAAAAATAGTTTTGAAGTTGTGTGGTCCCAGTAGGTAATTGCTTAAAAGCAAGCTTGTCTGTCTTCTAGTGTTGTATGTTCGTTGTACATGGGATTAATCATTGGCCAAAGGAGAATCAAGAAATATGGAAATAGCCTTTTCCAGAGCTTTTGAAACAAAACAAAAAAGTAGTTGAAAAAAAATTAATGTCTATCCAGGTGTACATAATGTTAAATGATGGTTAATATGTAGCAAATGTGGTGTTTTCTTATTTTTTTAGTAAAAGAAACACCTTTAGAGGCCTGTTTGTATGCATGCCATGTTTTATAATAAGCTTGAAGCACACAACGACCAAGTTATCTGCTGAATCCATGCTTAGCTTGCTTTTGAACAATGTACATGTACAATCTGGCGACCAAGATGGTATATTTTACGCAGTGATCTGTTGTAAGGATCACTAAAGATTAATTAGTAGTTTTATTTTAGGAGGGTCAAAAGGGGCGGGTTTTCTGTTGAATGTTTTTGCTGTTTTGTTTTGTTATTCCATTTTGCATTTTGCCTCCATATGGTGTAAGAAGGGAAGGGGGGCTGTGATTGCTAAATATATTGATTTGTCTTCTCCCTGCATGATTGTAAAGAGGATGACTAGTGTAAATGTTGAAAGTGGACATCATGTTGGCTTCCATTCCTGCCAGTCTCAACTGTGGATGTGGTGGCCTCATTTAAATTGTAGGGTGGTGTTGAAATTCTGTGATTGTAAGCAACAAGAAAGGCACCAAAAATAGAAGGAAAATCAAAGGAACGTTTTTTCTCCTCACTTAGGCTATGGTTGCTGGCCATTATTTATGTTCTTTGATGATGAGTGGAAATATGACACCTTTGTGTAGTAAAAGAATATCACTGGAAATGCTGAGATAACAGCACAGGACAGTCATTGTGTAGTAGCTAAGAATGAAATATCTATGTAGTAATTCTCAGTGATTTATGATCAATGGATTAAATTCAAACAGATAAATCTGAAAACTTTAATCAACTGCACCACACTGTAAATATGATGTGCACAAATGCCAAATAAATCTTTTAAAAAGAAATAAACCGGCCAATTAGCAGCACGGCACATCACACGGAATTGAAGACACGTATTTATACATTTGATGATTAATTTCGGTGGTAGTAAAAATTAATGAAATCTGCAGAGCCAGTTGTTATACACAAACAGTAAATGTAAAGAGGACTCAAAATCCAAAGAAAATTAGATTGACTCACAGTCGCTGCAATTTTACTTTGAGACAGAAGTCTAAACTGTTTTTGTGTATTTTGAGGAATGCAACCAAGACTGTGCAGTGCACAACATTTAGGTTCAAGGGGAAAATGTTATGCATTCTGTTCAGTCATTTCAGAAAGTGTTAATACTGGTTTATTCAAGCATTTGGACATTAATTCATTTAACACAAAAAAGCCTTGTGAACAACTGGTCGGGAAAACCTTGAAATAAGTCGTTTGTATGATATATCACGTTTGTATTGTTCTCACAAGTAGCTGTTTCTCGTATACTGAGGCTTGGACTTGTCAAATTTGATTTGGTGTAAACAGAAAAGAAGTCATTAATAGTCGGTACGAAACCTTGGTGTATTTATGCACAAATTAAACCTAGATTACTGTAGTCTCCAATAGCATTTGTATAAAAACACAGTACTGTTTGCTACTGTTCGGTGGACTAATGCAAGTCTACCCTTTGTGTGCACTTGTGCCAAACTGTCAAAAAAAAATTCGAGAAAGTGTTTAAAAAAAAAAAGAAAAAATTGATGTTTAATACTAAGCGTGTCTTCTATTTTTGTTTGGACAAAACAAATTTTTTATATTCTATATGGGATGTTTGTTACCATAGCTCCTTGCTGCTCTGCACTCAACTTCATTTGCTTATATTATTTTCCTGCATTTTTTGTACTTTTGTTATGTTCAAGCAGTCATCAATAGTATATATCTGATTATTTTTCATTATGGTACACATATATTTATCACATGCCAGATAAATTCCTTCAGTTGTTTTTCCTCCCCATTTGTTTATATTGTTTATTCAGTTTTTGGTTAGTTTAATTTAGTTCATTGCTTAATAAGTTTTGTATTTCTGGTCATGTGATTAAACGTAATGAGGTACTAAACAAGAAGCCATTTCTCCAGTTGTAGTATTTGTTTCCTGTCAAATATCAGAGCCCCCCCCCACCAGTTCCTCCAGTTCCCCGCCCCTGATAAAGACTGCCGTGGCAAAGAATAAAGTTAAACCACGTGTATTTTCTTCAAGTATCCCTCCAAATTTTCACTGCCACATACCATGAATGGCACTTCCCCATGCACACATACTTGTACACAAAATGATTCAGGCATGGGGGGGGGGGTAACCCCTCCACGCTCTGACACACACCAGTATAGAACAAGAAAGGCTAATTATTTGAGCATCAGTGGTAGTGTACATGCATTGTCTATGTGTCTGCCTGTCCACAACAAACTTTTAACAAAATCTGTGGGGCATGACCCCCCCCCAAAAAAATTTAGGATCCACCCTAGTGACTTATTTTAGAAAGACTGTTCTGGTGGAGACTACGGGTATGCACGTCCCACAAATTTCCCACCCTTGGCCTCTCACTGGAATTTGGAAAATAGAAAAAATTTGTTTTAGTAAGAAAATACTATAAATATACGGTGTCCATAGGAACCCTTTTTGGCATAATGCTTAGGACAGTTTTTACTGGCTTAAGAGTTCAAACCGCCCACCTTCTCATCTCAAATTGTGTTCATCTCCTTGGTCAATAGGTCGATATCCAACAAACCAATCACAAGGCTTCCTGTGAAGATAGTTGATCATTTTGGAAATACACCACCATGCATTTTATAAGAAGACTTGTAATTGGTAATTGGTCTATTTTGGTACTGACCATTTCAAAATGGAGGACACTGCTATTCACATACTGCCTGCAGGCTGACCTGGAGAAGAGGTTAGTTTTCTTTTTCTCAGTGTTTCTTTACTTTTTGCCAATTTTGTTGTGTCGTGTCACACAGTCTGTGACGATGTGGACAAGCATCATTTGAAATTTAAGTGGAAATAGATAATTTAACCAGTAGAAGTACATGAAAACGTGAGTCTCAAACAGTAACTTGGCTTTAGGTAATGGGTCATTCTATAAATTCAGGGTCCAAAAGTGTGACACTTTTGTGTCACTGTGATACCTGACCTATGTCATGGAAATGTCACTGAAATTGATTTCCAACTATTTATATTTGTTTGGCAGGTAATTTGCATTAATTCATCATTCGTAGAAACTAGAGAATGTGTTCAAAACTTACTAAATCATATGTGACCCCCCTCGGCAAAAAAAGGTAATAAGTCACGCAATTCCAAAATATGTTATGGCCTGTTCTATTTGGAGAGGGCAAAATGTCTTCAGAAATGTGATTTGGTGTTTTTCCCCTGTTTAGCTTGTATAACATTTATGTATTCAGAATTTGTGACTACAAACATGGATACTTATGAATAAAGATGAAAAATGGATCATTCAGTTGGAAATCCTACATAGCATTGTGTTTCCAAGTGCTACACTTTCTTAGCTTTTTCTTGAAAAGTGCTTTTATTTAATCCAAAAATGTAGATATACAAATGTCTAAATATCTTTGGAATGGGAGTGCACTATAGGGGTCATTCATAAATCAAATTGTAGCTTTTGATGTACTCAATCCAGCCATATCGAAAACTGATAACCTGAATCTGGCAACATATTACCCATTTTACTAGAGCAAGGCATATATGCCAGCTGTGATAGGGACACGAAAAAAAATTAATCCCCCATTTATATAATGACCTTTAAACTAAGGTGCCGACTACTGTTGGCTACTGTACATGGCAGTAGGCCCATGGACATATTTACCCCAACTAGAATTACAAGGCATCCTCCAAATGCACGTGGTGGATGCATTCTACAATCCTGGATGAAAATTGTTGGGACTCTTGGCACTAGCCATACACTCTATGGAGCACAGACAGCGTGCATGGACCCAACCGTGAATGGGGGTCTGGAGGTTGGAGGCCCACCGAGATTTGTCCAGGATTGTCTAAATTTGTACAAAGTTTTGGGCATATCGTTCTGTTCAGGGGGTGTGTTGTGTAGTGTCGTTTAATTAGAAAACACAGGTTGAAAATATGAGGAAAAGTTATGGCTGCATCACACTATTAAAAGAAGGGAATATCAGTATCTATTTTTGTATTGTGTAACCACAGGGAAGTGTGATATTGGGGTAGTCAAGTCCTATGAGGAGAACAATCTGGAGTCATTTTTAGGGATTCGATTTCAAGGCACGATGTGTGCATTGCAGAGTATGTGTTTGTAGAAATGCATCATATACAATGCACCATAGCATTTCGTGGGTTATCTGTACAAACAGATTTCTTTTCTAAACATGAAGTGTGTATTCGGGTGTGGACACAATAAAATCATGTGGAATTTCTGGTTTCTTTTAGTAATTCCGGCATTTTGTCGAGAAATGCAACAATGATCCATGAAAACTGTAAAAAAAAAAAAGGGGGAGTGACTCAAGTTCTATAATGATGTATTGTGGCTCACTGTAGGCAGTGTGCCGTCTGTGTATTGCATGTACACCCTATCATTTAGCGCATGTTATATGCTAAGTTGGGTGAGGGTACGGTTGAGATATGCAAGCATGACAATGCTTGTGGTGTTCTGATGGTGAATTCAGCATATTTGATGTTCATTTTGAATTAGCATTAATTCAAATCAGCCAATGCTGGAAAAGGTTCGCACACTCTAGGTAACCAGACCCTCCCCATGCACACATAAACAGGCATACGTAAACCCAGACAATCCTGGACGAAATTGTTGGGACACTTGGCACTAACCATACACTCTCCAGCCCCTACCCCTACTCCCCCGGTCAATGTTGTCATGTCTGGCAGGAGCCCAGACAACGTGCATAGACCCAACATTGAATGGGGGTCTGGACATTGGAGGCCCAAGATTTGTCCAGGATTGTAGCTCAACCCTTTAGTTGAGAGAATTTTTGACATATGGAACCAAGGAAGTAGAAACAGACCCATGTCAGTTTCATTGATTTTGTGCAGACATGGTAGAGGGCAGGGCTTTGACATGGTTGATTTTTGAGGGAACTTAGCCTAGGGAATAAGGGGGGGGTATTTTCAACCAAGAGAATTTGACCAGCCATATACAAAAACTACACAGCTGGTCAAATTTATCACTTTTCTTATGTAGTTGAATACCCCCACCTTTACCCTATATGACATGCTCTGCAAAAAGGAGTCTCAAGTCACTGAAGCCACTTTTGAGTTTTACTTTGTATTAGATTTTTAGGACTTTGAGCTCTGTTTTGATGTGTCACTCAGTTTGGTACAATGAAAATGGATGCGTAGATGTTAAATGTTGAGGTTTCCTCTTGCCTAAACTCTGTGCAATATTCTTTCAAAGACTCAAATAGTGACTCTGGCAACGTGACTCATTTTACAGCTTGAGAAACTCTAGTAATGTCGGCTTGCATGTTATTGGGCCCTGAACTTTGATTACTTTGATTTTACGCCATTTTCAGTGGGGCTTGAATTAGTGCTTTGCACCCCTATAGTAGGAGCACACATTCCCACTTGGATGTCACCTAAACATCTTGTTTTGGTTCTGAGCAGTCTTAGGTCATTGAGGTATCCATTTCTAGCTTAAGTAACATAGGTCCTAACATCATCCATGGCATTGGAAAATCTGATTAGGTGCCCGATGCCATCAACATTAGGGCTGGAGTTAGTTGAGTTGTCCCATCTTGCCCCCCTACGTGGGATACGGGGCAGGGGTGGTGGCAAGGGGTTTAACAGCTTAGGCTCTGCCCTGCCAGTAGTAGACATCAAACTTGGGTTACTCTGGATTAGTAACACTTTTCAGGGGCTTGAGTGGAATACTACATGTATTTCCACAAGTTTAATTTTGCTCCAGTATTTAAAGGCTGAAGTATAGGAATGTACCCAAAGGTGACTTTTGTGTAGTGGCCTTCAAGGGCCAATTCTGAGCCATTTGGGGTGGGGCTGCAAGAAAGGACATTTTCTTGTGGCCTTTATAGGAGCTTAGGTTCAATTTTGAAGGCTTTTTAAAAGCTTTGGGTAGCGAGATGAAACAGTGCATAAAATTGTCTTTCATTGCACTTCCAAATAAATAAAGAGAAGTAACTGGGGGTTATCTGATAGGCTATGATATAAACTGCTCTGCATTTGGAGGCAAAAATTCAATCAATAATCCAACGCTGTATATTATGTACTTTTTAATAATTTAAATGTTTTAATAAAAATATCAATAACAGTATATGAGATACATATTAAGTAAGCCTGGTTACAAAGTCTGTACACTAATAAAAAAAAAAGGAAGCCCATGTTAGGCTATAGAAAATCATAATAGACCATGAGCAATTCCAGAATTGACCTTAAACCTTCAAATCTTATATTTTGCTCCTTCAGATGTTAGATGCCAAAAACCCTGGCTAAATGTCAGGTCAAAATAATTCCTATACAATTATGGTACTTCAGAATAAAGATGTGTTTAGAAAATCTTCACAAAATAATTACTTAAGTGTCAATGGGTGTTATGCATAGCTAGACTGTACAAGATAACTCAGTGGGAAAAGATAGAAGAAAGAGGTTTTGACATAGCTGGGAAGACAACTGTACATGGAACTGGCAAAATACCCCTCACACGATTTTGAGGCAGACGGATCACGGAAATGGAGCTAAGTTGGTGCAACTACCGAGGCACCATTTTAAGCTCAGCAGGTAAGTTGTTTGTGGTAATGATTGAAAACAGCCATTTCAAATTATTATTGTTTTTAGAGTGGTTTTTATCTTGATAGGTGCATGCCTGCACAAAAAAATGAAACTGTTCCTTTTCTCAACGTTACCAGTCTACTCAGTTATTAATAGACAACAGATGAGCAGATTGCTTCAAGTTGAAGATTGGTTTCAAAAGTGTATAAATAAAACAAAGTAGCACTGACATTTTGGTAATCATCAGGTGAAGGGTAAAAGTCATTCAAACACCGCCTCCTTACTTGCACAGGATATGTGATTGTGTCTGGCTGTAGGGTAGTTAGTCTTGATTAGATACACTTCACTTACTTCCTGTGACAAGAACATCACTGTACATGAACAATCAGACCTGTGGAGTGGATAAACTGGTCAAAGGATTGAACTGAAAACCAAAACATATAAAGGTTTGACCTTTACTCATATCCAAATTGAAATAAAGGACTTTTTTGGAGTGTTTTAGCGGCTGAAACATATGCCTAAAGGGACAGACATCAAGTGTTGACTTCACTTTCTCTTGAACTGCCAAAAGATAACTGTCTAGAGCAGATGGCTTGAATGATATGTTTCACTGTAATGAATTTGAACATAAAAAGGCCAGGGTTAATACACTGAGTCATCGTGAATGATTATGGTAATGTTCCCTGATGCAAGTAAAGTCTTTCATCTCTGAACTTAGGAAAGGTTCTCACACTATCGATCCACAATTCTTAACATCTTATCAATCTTAACAATCTCATCTCTACAGCTAAAAATGGGGAACAAGTAAATTTGATGTTTCAAACTCCTGTTTTGTTTGTTTTCATCTTTTAATTGTAGTAACATAAAGAACTTTGACAGCTGTGTATTAAGTAAAGCCCATTATCAAGAAAACATGGTTGGGGGGGGAATTCGTTGTAATGCTGCAGAGAATAAAGTTTGCAGACTGTCTGTCTGTATATTGCACTGGTAGCATGCATTCCACACTAATTGTCTCCATTTCAAACAAAACATGCCCACGTTTCCATGAATGCAAACTATATATAAATCCCCACAAGGCTAGGAGTCAGGACCACGGCAGGTGAAGATGACCAATGAGTACCACTTTATAAAGTGTAACTCTCTAAACCTGCAAGTTGTCAATGAGGTCATCCAGAATACAGTTGTTCATTTTTGGCATTTCAGTGCAAGTTTGTACTAAATGTTCATGTTGGTTTCCAGATTTAAAAAAAAACTGGAACTTCAAAGTGAGCTTGAATGCCCAAGAGGGATAGCTAACATATCCAGGGTAGTGAATAGGATATGAGTCAGTCTACTAGGTGTGGGGTGCAGGGGGAGCAAGATTATCAGTCCAGACCCTGTACGTCATGTAATTAGTCAGTATGCCTTATCCTTGGCTGTCATAATTACTCGACTTATTAAGGCTCTGAGTCCCTAGTGAGTGTGACGAGGCATAGCAGACAGGGCATGTTTGTGAGGTAAGCTTAAAAACAATGCATGCTAGGGGTGACTCAGGTTTTCCGCTGAGCACAGTGTGCCCCACTTTTGTGCATTTACACCTTTGGTTCTTCTAAAATGCACACACTCAAAAAACGAACGAACTAGCTGTACTGTTTCGAAGGGTACTTGATTCCACATTTGAGCACTTGGAAGAAACATGCAGGCAACTGGAAAGCAAGGAATTTCTGGGCAGTACAGGGAGTTGTTCAGTGTTTTCAGTTGGATGGATGCCTGTAAGTGGCAGGTAACCGCTGTTGGCCATCAGAAATAAATAAATAACAAATTAAACAAATGGGTAGAGCGTACACAAAATGTTAAAAAAAGAGGAAATTAGCTCTTCTGACAAAGTACTACATGCTTGAAGAAACTAACAAAAAGCACTTCACAGTGTTATATTATCACCCGTAACTGACAAGAGTTTCATTCTCCAGAAACTTTTAATATTCAGACCAAGTCTTCTACAACAGTGCCGTAGTCCCTAAATGCTTCTTTCCTCCATGACTTGCCTCCAGGGTGCCCAGTACTGGGTACCTTGGGTTTATACACATAGCTGGGGTGCCCGAAATCCGACAAAAGAGCGGGGCCTTGTGAAAAAAAGATCAAGCTGCTGGGAAATGCCATCATTTTTCAGTTGGCAATAGCGGAGGTAATCCGTCATTGTTTTGAAACAGTATACCACTGTTTGCAGCATTCAGTGCCCGCGGATTAAAAGTGGGGACAAAAGTGCTCTAGCACTCTAGCAATGAGCGATACAGTACTGCTGCAGGCTAATCCGGCCACATTTGAAAAGACACCACTGCCATTCAGCGATGCACTAGGCCAATTTTGAGAACAAAGGAAATTACGCAACACCGCACAATCCGCGCTCTCTTTATTGGGGGGAAGGCCTGGCTGCAATACCCGGGCGTCAGTGGAGGCTGCCTGTCAGATTAGAGACAGTCATTCATGTTGGCACAAACATCCAGTAAATGAAGTTATGAATTTTGAAGAATTTTGTAAATGGAAAATCTTTAAAATCACCCGGGGAACTCGTCCCGCATGTGCAAATTCCACCCAGCAGGAAGTGGTTCATTTGTTCACAGCTTATCCATATCACCTTAATTAACGCCATGTCAGGGTAGGACCAGAAAAGTCTACCACAGAAAACAGTTTTGAAAGTCTCATTCATCTTTCCAGATGTTCAAAATGAGTACAAAATAATCTCTTCTGCCATTCTGATCTCCAATCTACATATAGTTGTTAATTTGCCAATAAAACAGATACACGGATCCTATTTGTAATGGATATATTTGCCTTCTCATACTTGAGTTCCATGATGCATGGATCAACTCTCTTGCTTACAGTAAAACTGTAGTCAATCCAATGATGACAGTGTCCACTGGACTAACTTATCATTATACAACATTATACCATCAACAGTGCAACACAAAGTGATTATCTGTATAAGCGTGTAACAGAGAAACAAGTCTTTGAGATATCTGATGGAAAGATTAAATGAAAATGGGATGATCGTTCAAAATACTGATTGAAACTCAACTGAGTATTTAGGAGAAATTTACAAATCCGTTTCTGGGTACAGTATAATGAATTGCTTCAGAAAAATATTAGTGGAGTATGAGATTATTTGTAAAATGCATGAAAACAATTTTCATCTTGTCAAATCTCCTCGTTGATAATTATTAATCAAACTCAATACTAGTCCTAAACTAACCAACTTAAATATATAAAAAAATCTCTTGGTACATTGAAGATTATGAACAGTACAAGAAACATTCCAAATACTTGAATGTGGTAGGCAAATTAACTTACACAATTTGTACCCATATTAAAAATGTTTCTTTCTAGTAATACTGCTCATCATTCTACAGAGTTTAAATCTGAGCATTTAACCAAAAAATGTTGCCACTCCTGTAATAAATATTGATAAAATTTGGTTGATGGCCATGGGAAAGATATGGACTCCTAAATGTTAGGTTACTGGAAGACCAGCAGATAAACCTTGTTGGGCTCTGTACAACAAGGAAATATCATGAAAAATATTTCAACAGTTTTCGTTTTGAAATGTATTAAGAGCACTAGGTCTTTGTTTACATTGCTTCTTACATCCTCGATCATGCTCCTTGTTTCATGTTAGATTTGCTCAAACAAATCAACAAAAATGCATTTCAATCAATCTTATGAGAAGTCTTCCTCATTTTCACAAGGAAAAAAAACACAAAATGCCAAACAAACCTTGATATATTGAAGAAAACGGGTCCTGCATTTCTTAAAATATATAAAAAGGCAAGATTAAATACTTAATATAAAACCCAATAAGTTAGCACCATTTCCATAAATGGTTGTTTTCTGTTATGTACAAGTCAAATACTAGTCAAAAATCCAGACTTTGGTAATGTTTTGGTCAGCATTGTTAAAACTGGCAGTTTTTGATGACACTTTTTGATAAAGAAAAATGGTTCATCAAAAGATACACATTTTGAACATTTACAAGGCAAATGCTTTTTTTTTTTCTTTTTACAATTTACACAGTTTGTGAAAAGAGGTAATATGCGGCTGAGAAAAAAAAACAAACCTGTTGAGTCTAAATCGAAAAAACAGAACACCAACCTGTAACTTGTTGGATAATACAAAATGGAACTTTTTAGCATTTACAGCTAGCTTTAAATAACTCCAAAGAGTGGTAAGTAAGCAAAATAAAGTAAAAATGCAGTTCTACTGTGGGCAGACTTGATTCTCCCCATGTGTCCAATATGAGGTACCCATGATAAATCTTTCAAAAGGCAGTCAGTAATAGGAAAAATCTCCCTCGGTAGAAGTCTGACTAACTGATGTACATGTAAGAATTAATGTCATTCCTTTTATGACTAGCTGTCACAGGAACACTGGTCTATCATCTCAAGTTGTTAAGCGTAATTTCTGTAAAGGGCTTAATGGCTGAAGGGATTTGTTTTGTTTTTTTTTTCAAGGGAGTTATGGACACTATAAATGTGGTCAGACAAACTCCTCCTGATGTGTATAAGTTTGTTTCTGCATTCAATT